AATCGACAGCCCCCTCCTCGCCATAAATCGGGGGAAAAGAGAAATGAATGCAAATTTGAATTTTAAATATTAAATTTGAAATAAAAACAATTAAATTTGAAATAAAAAACAAAGTTAGAAAACTCTAACTGCATTTATTTTCCAGGGAAAGCACGTGCTGCTCAAGTGCCCGCCCGGGACTTGGGTGAACGTGACCCGGGCGTCCTTCGGCACGCCCCGCATATCTTGTGAGTCCTGAATGCAATTTAACAATTTGAAAAATGCAAATTAATAATTTAAATTAATTAAATAAATTAATTAAATTAATTAAATTAAATAAATAACTTTTCATGAAGACCTTTGCAGCGAACGGGCAGTGGAGAACCGGGCGCTGCCACTACTCCACGAGTCTCGCTGTGGCTCGCTCGCAGTGCAGAAACAAAACAACTTGCAAAGTGCGGACAAGACTTTTCATTGTTAATATTTCTTCTTTTTTAATTTTATAAAAAGCATTTAATTGTCCATTTAATGCTTCATTTAATTGTCCATTTATTGTCCATTTATTGTCCATTTATTGTCCTTTTAATTGGCCATTCTGCACACAACTTGGCCTTTAAACTTCTTCAATTCTGTTTTTCTTCGAAATTCACTTTTTCAGATTTCGCCAACTCCGGAGATGTTTGCGCACGAAGAAAGGCCTCTGCAGTGTACAGACACCGCAGAGCTCCTCTTAGCCGCAGGTGCTTTTCTTTTCTTCAGCAACAAATGCATGCAGCATTTTAATCTTTCTTTCTTTTTTGTCTTCTCCAGATTTCACCTGCGAGCCCATCACGTAAGTCGAATTGCCCTCCTGCATGCGTTACTTTGCTGCTGCTGCATGCGCTGTTTTGCTGCTGCTGCATGCATTGTTTTGCTGCTGCTGCATGCATTGTTTTGCTGCTGCTGCATGCATTGTTTTGCTGCTGCTGCGATCTTTACTTTGCTTCTATTACATGCATTATTTAGCTGCTGCTGCTGCTTGCATTACTCTGCTTCTACTGCATGCATCAGTTTTGCTGCTGCAGCAGCAGCTGCATGCGTTTGCTGCTGCGCACTTCAATAATAGGCTGGAAGTGCATTATTGTTTAATTGCATTTGTTGAAATGATTATTTAAATTAAATTATTTCTGAAGCTTTTAAAGTCTGCGTGCATGCGCATGCATGCGTGCTGTCCGAAGCCCCCCAAGCCGTCTATTATCTTTGTTATGATCTTGAGCAGATCTTAATCTTTTATTTATTTCTTTTGTTTATTTATTTTTTATTTTTTATTTATTTTATTTAATTTCAGAGAACCTGCTCCTCTTTACACCCACGAGCGGGGCTACATTTCCGGCGTGACTCCGCACTATTTGTTCATCAACAACAAAAGTGCAAATTGCGCAGAAGACGAAAAAAGAAATTCGAAAGAAATAAAAGAAATAAAACAAAATGAAGGAAATAATCTGGTGAGACTCGCAGGGCGGAAAGCGGGTGTGCGCGGGCGTTGGGGTGTACGTACACTGCGTGCATGCGCGCGCTCGGGGCCGTTTTTTTGCGAATTTTGCAGATTTTTAATTTGGAAGGAATTATTGTTTGGACTTTGCGAATAATTGCATGCAATGCAAACAATTGCATGCAATGCAATGCAAAAAACTGCATGCAATGCAAACAACTGCATGCAACTTCTTCAGGCAGAGGCAGCTGCTGCTTGCGACGAAGACGCGGAGTGCAGCTTTTTCGTCTTTGACGCAGCAGCAAATGCTGCAGTTCGTTTTTGCTCAGGTTTGAAAAACTTTAAAAATTTAAATTTGCAAATTTTCAACAAGTCCGCAGGAAAGGGCTGGGCCCACGCGGCCCCCAGCAGTGGCCTTGCTGTGGCTGTGAAGCCTGGGGAGTTTCTGTGAGCAGTTTATTTAAATAGTTCAAATTAAAAAGAATTATTTGAATTTAAATTTAATCAAAAAAGTAATTTAATTGCCAAGTTTGTCAAGCAATTCATGGGGTTCAGCGTTATTTAGTTATGCCGTAAATGCAATGCAAAATAATAAATCAACAAATGCATTTTAAAATTATAAAACAACAAATGCAATTTAAAACAAATAAAACAACAAATGTCACTTAAAACGAATAAATTAAAAATTAAAAAACGAGAATAAAACAAACAAAACAACGGGTGAAATAAAAAACAAACAAATCAAAATAAAATTCAAAAACAGATAAAGCAGCAAACTGAAGTAAAAAACAAACAAATCGAAAAAGAAATTAAAACAAAGAAATCAAAAAATAAAATCCAAAACAGAACTCACGGCTTCGCCGTTTATTTGAACTACTTTGGAATTTGCCTCCAAAGCAACACTCTTGAGAAAGCAGCAGCAGTGCAGGATGTGCAAGGTGGGAAATAAAAAGAAGACCATTTAAACAATTTGCGCAATTAAAAGCATTTAAATGATTTAATTTATTCAATTTATTTATTTATTTATTTCATTTAATTGTTTTAATTGTTTAAACCATTTAAAGAACTTCATTTCTTTTTTTTTGCAGAAGGCGCGGCTTTGTGCAGCCAAAACGCAGACTGCTCCTACGCAACCTTCAGTAATGCACTCTCTTGCATGCAGGGGTGGATGGGTGGATGCATGCATGCATGCAGGGGTGTATGGATTCATGCATGCATGCATTTAGGGACACATGCATGCATGCATATATAAATGATATATATATATATATGGATATCTATGGATAAATGCATGCATGCATGCATGCATGCATGCATGCATGCATGCATGCATGCACTTAATGCATGCATGCATGCAAGGAATTGGGGCGAGTTGGATGTAGCAGATGTGTTCAGGCTTGTCTGGGGGTCTGTTGTCTCTGCCGGATTTCGAAAGCCACCTTTGGCTTTGCTCCGGCACTCCCGCGATGATCCCCGTAAGGCCAAGTTGGCCCCCAGCCTTCAATTTAATTTTAATTATTAATTTATTTAATTTTAAAATTAATTATTAATTCATTTATTCAAGTTTCAAATTAATTATTAATTCATTTATTTATTTTTAAATGCATTTACTAATTCATTTTATTTGATTTTAAATTTAAATATTAATTCATTTATTTAATTTTAAATGCAATTATTAATTCATTTATTTAATTTTAAATTTAACTCTCAATTCGTTTTATATAACTACAAATTTAATTATTAATTCGTTTTAATTTCCTTTTTTTCTCAAGCTGGACGGCGCGGTCTTTGCGGCGAAGGCGAAAGTCGAGGGCAAGTCTGCAGTCTGCATTTGTGGAAGTTGAATTTTTTGAAGTTTTTTCAATTTATGAAATATTTATAAAATAAATAATAAATTAAACATTTAAAAAGTCATTATAATCCCCCGCAGGCCCCGAAACAGTCTCTGCAAACGCCGTAAGAATTATTTTTCTGATTTGCAAATTTTTTTACCGAACGGCTGCAGGTTTCTGCCGGAGGTGTACGTACACCCCAAGTAAGCTGCGCACCCCTTTTCGCCTTCCCCTTCCAGTCTTTCATTTCGCCTTCATTTTTGTTTAAATCTTTTGTTTTAAATCTTTTTTTTCTATTTTGTTTATTTTCTCCTCTTCAGGGATATCCCACTCCCACGCAAGTCGACAACAGGCGACTTGGGGGGCCCCCCTCTGGCCCTTCTCTTTCTGGGCAAATCTACTAATCAAATAAATGCAAACTCAAAACCCTGCAGCTTGTGAACCTCCTAAATGGCTGCATCTGACGTACTAGTGAAGCTGCTGCTGCTGCTGCTGCTGCTGCTGCTGCTGCTGCTGCTGCTGCTGCAGCAGGTGCTGCAGGGCCACAGCTGCCCGCCCTGGGCTGTCTTCAGCGCTTCTAGCAGCAGTTGCAGCGCAGAGAAACGAAGCTTTTCACTGTCACCAAATCAAAGTGTTCCAACTCGAATTAAATTATCCATTTTGTTCCCCCGGCCCCGCCAGCAGCAAAAAGAGCAGCACCCCACAACCCAGCCCTCTGCTGCTTCCCTTGCTGCTGCCCTGCAGCACCCCCCTGGCTGCCACCAAACTGCAGCAAGCCGCAGCAAACTGCAGCAAGCCGCAGCAAACTGCAGCTTGCTGCAGCGTGCTGCAGCAGCGCGCAGTCTGCTGCAGCAGCTGCAGCAGCAGCAGCAGCAGCTGCTGCTGCAGCAGCTCACATGGCTGGGAAAGCCAGCTCCGGGTCCTGCACTGCCACGGGCAGTTCGGGCTTCGGCTCGGAGACGATGATGGTGTCCGGCAGCGGCGTGGAAGGGCCCATTTTGCCCTCGGGGTCGAACGGCAGCATAATGCTCACCCGCACCCCCAGCACTCCCTGCAGCAGCAGCAGCAGCAGCAGCAGCAGCAGCAGGGGGGCTGCACTTGCTGCAGCAGTTGCTGCAGCAGTTGCTGCAGCAGTTGCTGCAGCGGTTTGCTGCAGTGGAGGTGGGCTGGGTGGTTTGCTGCAGTGGCTTGTTGCAGTGGTCAGCAGCAGCAAAGGTTGCAGCACTATGGAGGCACTTTTAGCAGCCATTAGGATCTTAAAAAGAATAAAATAAATAAAATAAATAAACATTTATGAAAAGAAGAACAAAATAAATAAAACAACATTTATGAAAAGAAGAACAAAATAAATAAAACAAAATAAACATTCACGAAACAAAAATGCTGCTTCTGTGCACAACACAAAACACCAAAAACTCAAATCCCAAAAATGTCTTCTGCTGCGCAATCTGCCACCCAACTCCACCCAAAAACCAAAAAATAACAATATCAAACGCTGCCAAGCAAGCAGCAGCAGCAGCAGCAGCAGCAGCAGCAGCAGCAGCAGCAGCAGCAGCAGCAGCAGCAGCAGCAGGGCACCTGGCGCAGCTGGACGGAGCGAATGGCCTGGCTGACGAAGCGCTGGCGAGGCTCTCCGGTGGAAATGATATATCCGTCTCTGAACTTCATGCTTTTTGCGCGCTGCGCCCGCAGCTTCCCAGACACCACCACTTCGCACCCTAAGCAGCAGCAGCAGCAGCAGCAGCAGCAGCAGCAGCAGCAGCAGCAGCAGCGGTATCACCCTCCGCAGCAGCAGCAGTCCCGTCCTCGTCCTCATCATCCCCATCATCAGCAGCAGCTGGTAGCCCACAGCAGTGCTGCTTCACAGCACCCGCGCCAGCCCCCCACGCCCGCAGCACCCACAGCAGCAGCAGCAGCAGCAGCAGCAGCAGCAGCAGCGGACCCTTAGCCCCGGACTCCATAATATGTCTGAGGACCCCATAACAAGCCCTGCGAACGGCCAGCCCCTTGAGGAGCTTATAACGCAGACTCTCGGCCTGGGCCATCGCGCAGAGGCCGCGGTTTTCGACTCTTTCGGCGAAGAGCTCGACGGAGTCCGCGGGAAAGCCGAAGCGCTTTTGAACCAGCGAAGTCAACTCGCGAATGCGACGGCCCTTCTCGCCGAGGACTTCGCGCGTGCGAGTGGCTCTGATGATGATTTCGGTGCGGATGGGAGTCACGCGGACTTCCACGCCCGAGTAGCCGTCTTCAGCCAGAGTCCGAGACAGGAACTCGTTCAACTCCGCCTGGAACACCCCGTCGTTCACGAACTTCCGCTTCTTCGATATCTGCAGCAGCAGCAGCAGCAGCAGCAGCAGGGAGTGGGAGGGGGGAGGGGCTGCAGAAGGGAGCGAGGGGCCCGCGGGACGCAGGCCAAGCGCGAGCAGCAGCAGCAGCAGCAGCAGCACACGGGGAGGGGAAGCAGCAGCAGCAGCAGAAGATTTGGGGAAAGCGCGGGGAAAGGAGTTAAAGGGGCAAAATAAAGCGGCAGAAGGCTTTGGAAGCAGCAAAATAACGCATTTAAAAGACAAAGCAAGCCAGAATGCGAAGCGGCGCAGCGAAACGCGAATGCAACTCTGCAAGTGCTCGGGTTCTGCTGCTGGACTGGTTCTGCTGCCGCTGCTGCTGCTGCTGCTGCTGCTTCAATAGACCTCTAATACCATTTAAACACGCGCAAACGCCCGACAAGCAGCAGCAAAACCCGCACACAACGAGAATGCAAGCGCACAGGGAGGCCCCCCGCATAACCCTCGGGGCGCCTCGCGGCAGCGCCACCTTGAAACGCCCTTTCTCCAGAGACAACAGTTCATAAATAAGATGCTGCAGGCACTAGAAAGTATCTTCGAGGCCAAAAACGGGCAAAATAGGCATGTAGCGACGTAGGCTGCGACCGCGCTGGGGCTGCGCGGTTCCCAGCAGCGGGGAGGCTGAAGGCTTACGTTTGTGTTGGCCGCCATCTTCGCTAAACGGAATTAAATGAAAAAATACAAAAGATGCAACGAAGATAGACCAACAAAACACGAAATACCCCGCCAGCCTTTCCTCAGAGCCAGGCGCCCTACCCCACATGACGGCAAAAGGGGGGCTGTGGCCACTGCATGCAGCCTCCATTCGCTGATGGGACTTCTTCAGGAAAAAGTGTGTTAAGAAGCAAAGCTAGGTTGTTTTTAATTCCTCTTGCTGTTTCAATGGGACTAATGCCTTGAGGAAACGCCACTCAGCTCAACGAAAGCCCACCAAAATGCGGCGGACTCCCGCAGGGCACGGTAAACCGAGATTTTCCGCGAAACGCATACTACAAGCATGCATAAGTATTTAAAGCTAAAAGTACTTGAACTGCGCTGGAATACTGTCCCATGAATATGTGGGCACGCACAGCGCCTTAGAATATTGGCAGCAAGGCGGATCGCTGTGGACGCGAGCTTCGTATGTGTCAGCTCTGCGGGGTAGTGATTGTTTAATTTCAGTAGACCAGTTACTCAAATTGCTTCAATCTAACGATATGGATGTATACCTGCTGACGCTGAACTCCGAATACCAGTTCTACAGAGGCTGGTGACAGCGCCTGGTAGACAGCTCTGCAGGACTGTGAACAATTAGGAGTGCAGCTCGAGTATTCCTTATGCTGCGGGAAGCTACTTGATATTCCGCATTGTATGTTGTATGCCACGCCATATTACTTAGTATTTCAGGGTTGTGTTCAACGGCGGTTGCCGTTCTTGCGTGGCTCTGCGCAGACAAATCATGGACTCTGTGACGAAGGTTTAGACTAAAAAGCTTTCAAAAATCGGCTTTAATTGGGACACAATATGTGGTGACGGCGCTACAACAAAATCTCTAAGTTTATTAGAGGTGGAACCTGCGCAGAAGGGGCATTTAGGACAGGATACCTTTGAATTGGGATGCTTCGCCTCCTGAGCCCGGTTGTTCTGAATGCCTATAAAGTTGTGGATTTATGTCGACTTTGTGGTTTTACAAATGGTAATCAATTAATCCATCACGCTCAATCCAAGCCAGGCCTTACTAGACACACAGAAAACTCAACTGTAGGTGGAAGCAAATACTATGTTCTTGAAGTCAAATGAATTTTCCTTATCTGACAGGAGGAAAGCAAGCAAACATGCGTCTAAACTAACTCGCAAACACAAGCAAATCAACAAACTGGTACAGTCATGTGGAGGAGGAACGGAGCCACTTTGAAAATGCCAAAACCAAAAGCACGATTGAAGTGAATAGAAAATAAGAAATGGGCCAGTGGAAAGGTACAGTTGTACCGTCCACTTGCAAGCGGTTCTCTGTATATTTTTAAGTGATCGAGCAGTTTATGGTTTATTTACTGTCCACTTGCAGGTGATTCTCTGTATATTTTCAAGTGATCGGGCAGTTTTTAGTTTATTTACTGTCACTGCTATCTAGCGAACACGAATCCCAAGTGTTGTCCGCCCGTTGGCACTACTCTAAGGATATGTAGAAATGCCGTGGAGGGCTGACTCCTTGAGTGTTTCGGGATATCTTCACTTGTTACTAGCTCATATACAGCTTGGGACTTGACTGCAGCAAGTAACACTAGTTGTACTTACAAGAGAGGGGAAAACACTCCTAGTTCCCGGTAAACAGAGGCAGAAAAACAAAAGGGTAAGCATATCCCACTAACGGACAACAGGTAATAGTTTCAAAGATTGGATTCTGTTTGTTCTTAGAGCACGTGACCAGTGTACTGGATTGCCACCTAGTTAGCGGTCTCCATTTACTAAAGAGATGTACTATTTTGTGCAACTTGAATGGCTTTCTTGGAAAGCACTGCGGCAGCTGCCTGCA